CCATCTTCAAAGGCAGACGCCGCTCCTGAAGACGGGGAGAAAGCAAAGGAGGAGCTACAGTCGATCTGTCCAGGGGAGAGCGTGGCCCCGGCAATCTTTTCCCCCAGCCCCGAAAGCAAGTGCCCTGACCGACCAAAAGCTGGCTCTCAGGGACTGGCCAGCGCTGGGGGCAGGCACGCTGAGGTGTGCCCCTGGGATGCTCCTGCCTCAACTGCTCATCAGCCTGACAGCAGCATCAAAGCAGAGGTCTGTCCCTGGGAGGGGACTGAGAGAATCCCTGAAAAAGGGGTGTCAACACAGAGCGGAAAAGGGGGACCTCAAGAGGAGGGGAAAGCTCCAGAGAAACCAGAGCCCAGAGTTGGGGCAGTTGAGGAAAAGCCAGAGTGGGCAGTCAGGAAGCAGGAGGCTGTGTGTCCCTGGGAGAGTCAAGACAGTGGAGGCCTGTCGCCACCACCAGCCCTACTGGCTTCTGACAGTGGCAAAGGCATTTCCAAGGCAGCAGGCAGTGCGGGGGCCAGGGTGGCAGACGTGTGTCCCTGGGAAGCGGTAGAGGTTCTCTCTGCCAGGAGAGCGGAACTCTGCCCTTGGGAGATGAGCACAGCAGCCGCAGAGGCAGAGGGCCCCGAGCAGGAGGTGGACAGAGCACTCCAAGGGCAGGGAGAGGTGTTCCTTCAGAAGGCAGGGTCTGGCGGAACTAAAGAACACCGTTCAGAAGCAGCAGCAAAAGGCAGCAGAGAGCAGGAGGCAGTTTGCCCCTGGGCAGGCATGGATTCAGGGGGACTCCTCCCCCAGCCAGAAGCTCTGGACACTGACCAAGCCACAGTCAGTCCCCATGGAGCAAGCAGTGTGGGGAGCGGGGTGGCGGAGCTGTATCAATGGGAAGTCACAGATCCAGAAGGAAATAAAATAAAGGGCACCATGGCAGACATCTGTCCTTGGGAGGACACTGGAGCCCCATCTGAGGAATCCGGCCTCCCGGCTTTAACAGCAACGCAGACAGAAACATTTCCCCCCAGAGGCCCCGAGAAGCTAGCAGGCCTTTCCATCCAGAGGCCTCTGGGCAGCTTCCTTCCAGAGAGTAAGTGCTCCCGCCCCCAAATGAGCCAGCCAGCCAGCTCTTTCACTCTGGAAGGTGTCAGGGAATGCCAAGGGCCTTCGGGGCTTGGGCCAAGAACCAGCTTAGCTGCAAGGCCAATGCTCCATGAGGCTGAGGCTCAGAATTCTTCTTCCCTCACTGAACACCAAGGAGAAGATGCTTCCAACGACCCACATGAAGAACTCGTCCCTCCAGCTGTCTATCCTTGGGATCGGGAGTAACGATTCCCTTTAAACTCCTGTGAGGTCAGACATTGGGAGGTTGGCTTTCAGGAGCCAAATCCTGTCCCAAGTCCTAGGTGTTCCCAAAGAGCTGGAACAAAGACCCGGGGCCACCCCTTGCCAGGAAAGCCAGAGATCAATTCACTCAAAGACAAATTGTACGAGAAGGGTGCAGCTCAAATCCCTACAGGAAGTCGTACCCTCTCTTGACTGCCAATTCTTCCTGCTGTAGGGAACAAAGGCCAGATGCTCCTAATGAATCCTCCTATCCAGCCAGAGTACTCAACACAAGCCGTTTGTGTCTAGACCCTCACTTGAAAGCCAAGGTTAGGGATGAAAGGAAATCAGTAGCGCCCGCCCATGTTTTCTCACAGGGAGACCTCGTCTTCTCTGAAGTCTACAAAGGACCTTTTTGTTTTAAAGAAGAAATGAAACCAAACAAGGTGCTGACTGTACAAGGGCTGAGAGTGACAGAAGGCTATACAGGTCACCGTGGGAAGCTTAAGAAGCCACTTAATTGAAGTTCAAAGATAAATAAGAGGAAAAACCTAAATGGCTCAAAGGAAGTGCCTGAAAAACGACCTTGTCCTTTTGACTTTGGATCTCCAGTTTTGGCTTAACCGATCCTCAGACCTGCCATGTTTACTAATGAAGCAGAGCCAACCGGGCAATCTTACATCCATATCATCTGCCAACCAAAGCAGTATCAGTGATGGAGCAAATAAGGAAAGGCAATCGCTCCAGGCCCGCCCCATGCAGGCCAAGGTCAGGTTCTCCCTTCTAGACACCCTGTCTCCCAGTTTAGCTCTTTCAGATGGCCCCTTCTTCCTGCCCCATCTTTTGCATCTAGAGTTCATCTCACTGGCTCATTCTCCCGCTCCTAGCCTTTCAGAGTTGCCATCAAAGGGACCCCTCTCTGCTGTCAATGCAACTGGAGCCAGAGGGACTCTCTGGTTCTGATGCAAGAACCACTCCAAATCACTTGCCCAGTAACAAGAGGCCCACATCAGCCTCCTTCCTGAGAAAGAAAGGAGGTCCTGTTTGCAGCCAGCACTATAAACTGCCCCCAGAAAGAGGAGGGCTACAGAGCAGGTGAGAGGCCCGAGGGCTGGGGAAAGGGCATCGTGCAAATACAAAGCCTTCTTTCTTGGGGAGCTCTCTTGTTCCTAGCTCAGCTCTCTTCTCTCAAGTCAGTTCAGGCTCCTCTTTCTTAAGCAATCCTAGATAACAGAGTGCTGGAATTAGATGATACTACCAGAGGGAAATGAGGAAAGAGAAAAACATTGGTCAAAGAAGTCCCAGGATTGGCGGTGGTGAGTGGGGGATAGAAACATGCAGGCTAAACATGGCAGAACTGGGCGGAGGCACTAAAGATGGCAGTATGCCCACCTGTTAGCTAAACAGGTACTGATGCCATTCACAAGGAGGAAAGGCAAAATAAGACCAAATACCCAATGGGGAAGAAATGAGTCTGCATGAGAATACTCTGGGCAGAATCAGCAAGTCACAGAAAAAGTAGCTACATTTCCATAAAGGAGGAAAAGGAATGGAGTAACCCACGTTTTCAGGGACTAAATACCCTTGTTCTCCTATCCACAAAAGTATTTGATGTGTGTTGTTGCTATGGGCTCTGGCTGGTTAACCCCACAGCTTCTGAACCAATGCATAGTTTGCTAACCGTGCTCCTCAGAACAATCCCATTGGGTCTGGTCTAGCTGGGAACAAAAATGTTGTCTCTATGCCCACTGCTGTGAAATAAACCATACAGAAAAAAATAAAGAATGCTTTTCCTTGGCAGTTGGTTCTAGCTTTATTCATTATGGTGATTTTCTTTTTCCAATGTTTTTAAACAAGAACAGGAAATAAAAACAATGCCTGCTCTGAAACTCAAGGTAACACACTGCAGCCTTCAGGGCCTCAGCTCTGTGGGAGGCACTGCAGATGGTGTCTGCCTGGTCTTTCTAGCCAATCCTTCACATCTGGGCCATTCGCTCATCTGGATTTGATCCCAAGGGGAAATGAAAATTGCACTTATCCTCTGGCTCCCTGGTGGCAGCTACTGCTTAGCTGCCGTTTAGGATTATCTAGAGACCCCGGAGACAGATCGAGGGGAGTGGGATGAAACCACTTGCTTATTTAAAGCACAGTTTTCACATATTCAGAGAAATCAATGTATCATTTGCCCAGTAAGTATGCTTTGTTTCTCTGCTTCCCTACCCAACCTGCATTACTGCCCCTTATTCCTCATGGCTGTAGATCCTGCTCAAAGCACTTCCCATCTCATTTTGCCTTAATCTGGGGATCACACAAATAGGATATGACCAAACCTTACATGGGCTGCAAAATGATGTACATTTTAAGCCGAAGAGGTTGACACTAAGTAGCATGATGAGAGTGGCTGTTCTGGATTAACCCGTCAATGCTGCCTCTTCCCGAAGCACACACATCTTGTTTCCACAGCCAGCACTCAGCAGCTGGTGCAAAAACAACCATCTTCCCCGGGGAGGCGTGGTGGGTTTGCTCCTTTGCTGAGATGGTAGCTTTAGAGGGATTGAGGAGTTAGATTATTCTCAACTGATTCCAATTTATTTGGATTCTACTCTCAGGTCAAGGTCAGAACAGATTAATCCTTACCCTAACTTACCCCTTAAAAGAAAATTCTGTGTTTGAAAAATACAAAGTATGAGAATTAAGGTCCAGGGAAAGCCACACCGGGCTGATGAAGCAATAGTACTATAAGCCAGGCTTGCTTATGGGTACAGACTGATTTCCCTCGTCATGAACCTCCAATGACACAGGACACATGGGCAGTCCCTCTTCCTCCTCCTGACAATCCAGCTAGAGTTAAGGAACGAGGAGGGGCTGGGTTGTTTCACTCTACACAGGCCCACAGTTTGGTACCTTGGCTTTCCCTGCGTTGGGCTGAAAATAATCGCCTACTCTCAAAGGCGATCAAAGTCAGGGAACCAAGATTTACAGATGGATTACCCTAATGTATGAATTTCCCCCACGCTTCCTGGGATCATGCCAGGGCACAGCTGATAATTAAGAACATGATCCAAAGGCTGAGGGAGAAATGATTTCTTTGGATTTACATTCTTCTTTGAAATACGAATGCTGATTCACTGAGTCAGCGTCTGAGAAAAGATCCTCTTAAATGAGATACCATCTCTTATAAACACTAATTATTTTTCACAAGGCTGAATTTCCTGGAAGTCATATCACTCACCATTAAACCTGTTTTCCATTACTGCCATCTGAAGGCTGGTCTACTTCTAGCCTGAACCAGGGAATATGGACAGAACCAACCACAATTGATCCAACACTGCAAGAGTGTTTTATTTCAAACTCTGACCTCTGGCCTGTGGTAAGAAAGAAATTTCTGTCAGTTTGCTCCTGACAGTCCCTGCTGCAGGAAAGACTGGTGTCAGACGTTGTGTCTTTCATCTGGACCTAGAAGGTAGATAGACAATTTAAAAGAAGTGGGTCCAGGGCTATGCCTAACAGCCACCCACCTAGGCCCGGCCATCAGCTGTGATTGTTGAGGATGAGACTGCTGTAGTGACCGAAGCAGAGCAGGAGAGAACAAAGATAGTTCTTGCTACAGCATGATGGAGGTGGATGTCTTCACAGCTCCCAGTTGTCTCATCGCCCACACTTCACCCCAGGAGTCATGTTTGCCATCAGGCCAGCTGAGACTTCTGGGCCTCTGCTTGTGGCTCTTCGCAGTCTTCCCCAAGGTTTGGCTGGGGGGCAGGGATCATCACCGTCTGAAAAGCAGGAAGCCAAGTTATCTATCACCCAAGCCCAAGGCTCACCCAGGAGATTCTCCCTCACCCTGATGCCCACCCCTTTCCTGGTGCTGCATCACCCCCTCTCTCCCCTAGGGGGAGTCTAACAGGACTGTCAGGATACCGCTAGGATGGCCTCAGCTCTTCTAGCTCTTTTCAGGCTGCCTTACCTTGAGGATGGGCTGCTTAGGGGGCGCCCATGGAGGCACAATCTTGCCGTGCATTCTCCAGCTTCCATAGGGGTTTGTCAGGTGCTTTTCAAAAACAACATACTCGAGAACATCCTTGGGCACATCTTCCTGTCCATACATCAATCTGCCAAACCGGTCATAGATGGCCAAAGTCTGCAAGGATGAAACCAAGTCTGGCCAGTTAATCTCAGAATTGTCCTGTCCGGTTTGGTTTGGTTTTTTTGCATGCAACCATTTTAAAAACAACCGTAACAATGCTCTGGTTTCTCTTCAGATCGCATAAATCTTTCGCCTTTTAAAAACAACCGTAACAAAACATTTTAATGGGTAGAAAAATTATCTCAGGTTCTGAATCTAGATTAACTGATCAACTACTGACACTTTATTTTTAGAAGTATTGTTGACTGGGGAGGAGAGGAGGGAGGAAGCTGAGACTGGGAAGGTGAGAGAAAATTTCCTTGCATCTGTCTTCGCAGAGATAACTTGCAGCAGTGGGAAGGGCGTAGTGAAAGGGCAAGGAAGATTTCAGTGAGCCTTTCCTTAGAGCCCACAGTCCTGGGCAGCTGGAGCCATCATTCCAGAGGTAGGTGCCCAACCTGAGGGAAGGAGAGCAGCTGGGAGGAACGCAGACTGGTGACCCTACCTGGCGGGTATGCATGCGGACGGTGATCTGGCCATACACATTGCCCTCGTTCACCATGCTCGAACAGCGAACCTGAACCACTTGGGCTGGCTCTAACGACTCTACGAAGCTCCAGCGGACGGTCTTGTATTGGATGTCCCAGACCATGTCCTGAAGGCAGAAGAGAACAAGTTCTACTGAGTGTTTCACTCCCTTTAGGAAAGCTGGTGCTTCCTTCTGCACCTGCTCTCACTTCTTACAATGTTACAGCCAACATGCAACATTTCCTACCAAATGCTTTCTTTTTAACCATCCCACGTTTTCACTGAACTGCTGCTCAAGCCCCCCTCACAACAACCCTCTTTTCATTTCAATCACAACTCTGGACCAACTTGCCTCCTTGAGGACCCTTCTCTGAATCAATGAAAACCACACTCCAAATTGACAGCTTTATTTTTTCCCTTTTTTATTGAGTTTATTGGGGTGACATTCATTAATAAAATGATATAGGTTTCAGGTGTTCAATTCTATAATACATTATTTGAGTATTATGCTGTGTGTTCACCACCCAACCTCTCATACACTTTCACATTCTGGTAATTATTGCATGCACTGCTGCTGATTGCATATATGTTGCCCCCTCTCCTTTCTAGTAAAGAAGAGTGGGATTTTGCAGGGATATAAAAGCTACACTGGTAAGACTTGGTTAGCTACCCCTGTCTCTAGGGAGATAAGGCCAAACTGATAGAATCTGAAGTTCTTACTCTTGAATCACGAAGTTCCCTTCCTTGGGGGTCTCCCAAAGTACTTAGACCCCTGTTACCACACAATGAAGCCTTGTGAATGCTTGTTAAGTCCTTTATTACATATTACAGCGTGGGCAAGTGTGGGCTGGCCCAATGCGGCCCACACCCTGAGCTCAAGATCTGTACCTAAGGTTCCAGTACTGCTTGTTGAGGGACTTTCTCCTTCCTCATTTGCATGGCCCTTACCAAAGTCCACATCAAGTCATTATCATTCAGGCAAAAACAATGGAGCTTCAGCTTTTGCTGGAAACTTCCTGCACTTTCAAAACTGATCTTACTTAAGGAAACCAAAGGTGATGTCTACAATATGCCCATTCAGCATCCCACAATTCTAAGGCCGAGAACCTACCGGAAAACAGTTTTCAGTTGCCAAGGCATGAAGTCGGTCATGGTCTGAGCTAAAAAAGAGATACATATCAGTGACTCCTACTTTTATGATACCCTGTATTAAAGTTGAAAATGACCCTGAAAATGAAAAACAATTCACTTTTATAAGAACTTTCTTTACTCCTACCATAAGCCAGGTAATATGCTAAGTCCTGGAGACACAAAGATGAACAGTCACCTAATTTACCAGAAAATCCTGAGCTCCATAGCTGAGTAAAGTTAGGTCTAAATCTCAGGAGTAGAAAGAGATTTCTCTGAAATTATTATATACATCCTTAAGATTGGCAAGAGACCCTGACATGGGGACTGACTTTTGTTCTAAACTGCAACAGGGAACAAAACCCAACATAAATAATCAAAAGCTCATCTCCTCTTTTCACCGCAGACACATCACCAGTACCAAGGGCTGGGCCTTGAATCTTACATTGTCATCTTTGAACCTAGCAAAGATAATCATCGACCTTTTCTGAGCCATGCTCCCCTCCCCCACGCCCATCTCTGTTACTGCCACAGTGTCCTAATCATGCTGATTCTGTGCAGTAAAAGAAAAATGCAAACCCCAGCCTTTGTACATTTAAGATTTTAGCAAGATTCCTGACTGAGGAGTTTCATATAAACCTAAGAGCACAGATTAGTTTCTTTATATACACATTCATGCCCTTCCCTCACAGTTTAATACTTCCTGGGCAGTTTAAGTCCTTATCCCCTTAAAAACTCTTGACTTTCATCCCAAAATGGAGAAGGAATTAGTTCTAGCTGCTTCCCTCCCACCTCTATTTCTAAGAGAAAAGATGCCAACTCATTTCTCCCGCTGTGGCTCTAGGTTAGACTGCATTGTGGTGAGAGCTACCTCAACCACTGTGCCTGACACTCTAATGAACCCTTCCTCCTCTCTGTACTGACCTAGAAATCCTCAGTAGAAATAGATTCCCTTTTCTATGAGTTCATTTACTATTTTACAATGGAACTTACACTGAAAAATAAAGACATCTGCTTCTCGTAACATAATGGACTGAATTAATGTAAAACTACACCCACTGGAAAAAAAAAAAATTATACCCACTATAAGCACCTAGAAATGTTGCACAGACACACACACACACTTTTCAATACACTGTCCTAGTTCACTAGAAAGATAGGTAAATCCCTAGATGCCAGAAAGGAAGAAGGAAAGAAAACCAGATGGAAAGAATACAATCTGCTACAATAGCACATCAGATGACAAAGGGATCCAGAAATAGGGTCTGAAGACTAGGAACTGGTCTTTTCCTAAAACCTTGGGCCCTCCCCAGAACAGCCGGGTCGGGTGCGGCCAGGCCTGGAGCAGCGGCTGCCAGGCTGGGAGCGGCCAGGCCCGGAGCAGCCGGGTCGGGTGCGGCCAGGCCTGGAGCAGCAGCTGCCAGGCTGGGAGCGGCCAGGCCCAGAGCGGCCGGGCCCAGAGCAGCCGGGCCCAGAGCAACCGGGTTGGGTGTGGCCAGGCCTGGAGCAGCAGCAGCCAAGCCCAGAGCAACCAGGTCGGGAGCAGCAGTGGCCAGACCCGGAGCAGCTGGTTGTGGAACGGACCAGAGCAACAGAGGCCAGGCCCGGAGCAACCAGGCCCGGAACAGCTCGCTCCTTATCTGCCCCCGCCCCAAGGCTTCCTCTCAGACATGGCTGGAAACTTTTGCAGGAATTTGAGGGTCTGCTGAATCAAGTGATGAAGGCTTAGATCTGGATATGTTGAGTTAGTGTAGCGCTGAGGTGTTGATCTGTGAGTGCCTTGTGCAGGGCCTGGATGAGGTTGGTTGACCTATTTGGAAATGTCTTTTGTGTGAAGTGTATCTTTGGGCATGAATTATTGATATGAGAAAATGCTAAGTAACTGATTTACTATCAGAAAAAGGATTTACTATCGGGGAAAGGGAGGGAGGAAGAGACTGAACATAAACTGTGCACCTATGGGTGAGGACAATGGGGGATGGGAAGGGGGCGAAGGGTGGGGTGGAAACCTGGTGGAGGGGGGAAGAAATGAGGAACCTTTGTAATAATATGAACAATAAAGATTGATTTAAAAAAATAATAAAAAAATTAAAAAATTTGATGATAATAATAAAAAAAAAACCCTTGGGCCCTCAAAAAACAGGGAGTTAGAACTGAAATCCCTGAATAAAGCTATGACTATAAGAGTCCTGCACCTGCAGGAAATGGAGACGAGAAAAATAGCCCACCAACTGAGAGATAAAACTTCTCTCTGTCTAGGGCTGTGATTGGGGGCAGGGAGGGAGGGGGGAATAAAAACAAAGAAAATGAAAAATTAAAGCTCTAAGCCCACATTCTATGCAAATGTGAATATGAAATTTATGGTGTAAGAATTCTTAAGCTGCCCAAGCTGCTTTGGCTCAGTGGATAGAGCATCGGTCTGCAGAATGAAGGGTTGCAGGTTTGATTCCGGTCAAGGGCATGTACTTTGATTTCGGGCACATCCCCAGTAGGAAGTGTGCAGGGGGCAGCTGATTGAAGTTTCTCTCTCATCAGTGTTTCTAAATCTCTATCCTCTCCCTTCCTCTATGTGAAAACTCAATAAAATATATATATTTAAAAAAAGAATTCCTAAGCTAAGAAATTAACATAAAAACTGACACCTAGTCAATGATATCCCTGAGGTATCTGGCAGAAACACACACAAAACCTCTCTGGGAGCATGTTCATAACTTAGGTCGTTTAGGATTTCCTCAGAAGACACCCTCTCCAATGAAGATGAACTTACAACTAAATGTTTCAAATGGGGACCTGGAATCTACTCAGGAAAAACAACAGACTCAAGATATCAAGCAAAATAATGGAGTAGGAAGCTCTAGGGGTGGGTCCCTCCATTGAAACACCTGGTAACTTAAGAAAAAAATGACCAGAACCACTATTTCAGAACTCTGGATTCTGACTGGACACTTATAACAACCAGAGGAGTGACTGATGAGGGGAGAGACTAATGATCTCAGGTAGAAGAACAATATGTGCAAACTATCTATCTCTCACCCCCCCTTCCTCCACCCTGTCATGACTGTGGGGATAGTGGCCTCTGTTTCTGGAGTGGATGGCTGGTGCTAGGGCAGATAGTAGATACCTTGTCCTCCAAACTTTTGGGGTTGCACATTTTGGTCAGCCTGGTGGATTGCAGAGACCAGAGCAAGTAATGCCATGGTTTTAGTAGTGCTGGCTCTGAGACCATAATGGGTATAGGACAGGGAGTTCACTTACTTATTTAGACAAAGGTGAGCTTCAATGAAGATATCCTTAGCTTTTTCAGGGAAGTCCTTTATTTTAAAATTAGCATCATGGTCTCTTATCCTCCGTATGCTGTAAAGTTAAGCATGAGAATCATTTTTAAAGACTTCGTTCAATTCTATTACTCACAGCTTATATTAACCTCCATTAATGTCTATCTACTTATTCATTAATTGTTTTTTAAATGTGTCAAATCCTCTGAATTCAACCTTCTAACTTTCATTTTAATTAACCATCCTAAAGAAAAATCAAGGTTTCTTATAGTAAAATTTCATAACTCTGGCATCAAAGAAAACATCCGATAAGCACTAAGAAAGAAAACACAGGTGTCGCCGGGACCTGTTTGGCTCAATGGATAGAGCGTCGGCTTGGGGACTGAAGGGTCCCGGGTTCAATTCCGGTCAAGGGCATGTACCTGGGTTGCGGGCATATCCCCAGTAGGGGGTGTGCAAGAGGCAGCTGATTGATGACTCTCTCTCATCAATGTTTCTAACTCTCTATCTCTCTCCCTTCCTCCCTGTATAAAATCAATAAAATAAAAAAATAATAATAAAAAAAAAAATATATATATATATATATATAACACAGGTGTCATAGAAAGGCTTAAGAGTCAGAATGAGCCTGGCGGATATGACTCAGTTGTTGAGCATTGACCTATGAACCAGGTCATGGTTTCATTCCCAGTCAGGGTTGTGGGCTAGATCCCCAGTAGAATACACCAAAGTTGCAAATTCAATCCCTGGTCAGTGCATATATATGTATCAACCAATGAATACACAAATAAGTAAAACAACAAATTGATGTTTCTCTCTCTCTCTAAAATCAATCAATAAAAATATTTTATAAAAAGACTCAGTCCTGGCCAGCATGGCTCAATGATTGAGCATTGACCTATGAACCAGATCACAGTTCGATCCCTGGTCAGGGAATATGCCCGGGTTGTGGGCTCATTCCCAGGTGTGGGGTGTGCAGGAGGTAGCAATGATTCTCTCTCACTATTAATGATTCTCTCTCTCTCCCTCTTCCTTCCTCTCTGAAATCAATAAAAATATATCTTTTTAAATAATAATAAAACAAAATATGTGATAAAAAAAAAAAAAAAAGCCGAAATCAGTTTGGCTCAGTGGTAAGAGCGTCGGTCTGCGGACTGAAAGGTCCTGGGTTCAATTCCAGTCAAGGGCATGTACATTGGTTGCGGACACAGCCCCGGTAGGGGTTGTGAAAGAGGCAGCTGGTTGATGTTTCTCTCTCATTGACGTTTCTAGCTCACTATCTCTCTACCTTCCTCTCTGTAAAAAATCATAAAATATGTTAAAAAAAAAAAAAAAAAAAGTCCTACAAACTGCCCTGCCAATATGGAATCAATAAAAATACATTTCCTCTCTGAATTCAATTAAAAATTTTTTTAAGTAATTAAAAATATATTTTTTTAAAGTCCTACAAACTTCAAAGTCAACTCCCTAATTGATGTGACAAAAACAACCAATAAAGGCTGAGATGCTAAGAATGAGAATGCCCATATTATTCTACATTAACTACGGACTCTATTTCTGAGAAAGAAAATAATGTCAAGTTGTTATAAGAGTTATATCCAACCAACTAATCCAGGATGATCTCTTTGGAATAAAGTAGCAACCAGGAATTTTATTCTAATATTAACTCCCAGTTGTCTAAGACACCCACGACAACTGTGATGCCACATTCTTCTTCAATCGTTCAGTTTTCTGTGCCAGTCCTTCCTTTGAAAGAGCTGATACCCGAGCATCACCCTCTGGAGGAACATAGGGGTCAAAGATACCACCTGAAATGAGAGGAGACAACTAAGAAAGCATTGAAAGACGGAGAAAAAGTCATCTTGAAATCATATAAAATTAGGCGGAATCCTTAATAAAGTAGATGAATGAACTAGACTTTCATGTAGGCAGTGTTTCCCAAACTTTTGACATATGTGTACCCATTCTATAATTTTCTTAAAGCTGAGTACCCCTCGTTCTCATCAGAACGTAGAATTAGGCACAGCTAAGCACAGTGCAGTGCATATCCCCACCAAACCAGTGCAACGCGTACCCCCACCAACCTCTTCCTGTACCCCTGGGGGTACGCGTACCACACTTTGGGAAACACTGATGTAGAGAGAATCTGTTACATTAGAAAAAAATAGAATAATTTAAGTCTCCTCTCAGAGCTTCAGATTCTTCTTGTACAAAATGGGGAAATTTCACCTTTGCCTTCTAGGAATAGTGGAAAAACAAGATCAAAGATTACCTCATGAAATACAGTGCATACAAAGTAAATGATTGTTGAGGTTCTATTGATCCACTGGTTTTGTGGTTAACTAACTAGTGTCAATCATAGTACAAATCATTTTACTTTCCAGATGATCTCTGACAGAAGGGGAATGGGTCAAGGTCCCAGAAATATCATGCCTCACCTGTACAGGCCAGATGTATGGGACGTTCCAAACGTTCTGGAGGAATGACGATTCCTGCTTTCCGGGAACGTTCTATAAACTCCTTTTGTGATTTGTATTTAGGTTCATAAGCAGGAGGTGTGAAACGTGTTTTAGTTCTCACTGGAACTACAGCTATGGACTGAGTCACCAGGACTGGCTGGATGGTAGGAAAGGTTAGGATATAGGTAAACTTGGAAAAAACTCTAAACAATGGTAGAAAGGGAATATACAAAGAATGACTTAGGAACAATTATAAAGCCACATACGGGGGTGGGATACATTATTACTTTAATATTTATGGGCATTTCTTACTAGAAGCTAGTAAGCAACTTTTACTAACGCCTCAAAATTTACTAAAAGCTTCCCTTTAGAAGTCTCCATAGTGTAGGGCTATGCCAACTCCTAGGGATACAGACTGATTAAAGCAAGGCTTCTTTTTTATTTATTTATTTATTTAAATTTTTTTAAATTAAATTATTATCTGTGTACATATTTTAACATTGCCCCCTCCCCCCCAAGCAAGGCTTCTGCTTTCAAAGAATTTCAGTCTGAAGGGGATTTAACACTGACCTGATGCTGAAATGAGCAGAATGCTACTATTAAAGCATAAGAAACGTCTGTCTGGCATTATTTGCTCCATTGTTGAGTTTCTTGTTGGCCTCACATGGTAGCCAACACATCACAGATCATCTCCTCTATTGTTTGTTTGTTTGTTTACTAAGATGACATTCTGCTCATCCTATTGGCATCCTCACTGTCAATTTCAGTCATTATAGCTCCCAACTGACTAATAAGCTCTTTAAAGGCCAGCTCTCTTTTCTCTATGACCATGAGGTTTGCTCGGGCAGGGACAGGGACAGATACTGTTCCATTTAGGGACGCTTAGAGAATCAAGGGGAAGCGAGCTCACCTTGCAAACCATTACGTCTTTCCCCTTTAAACCCTCATCGCCAAACAAACCCGACCAAACTGGAGAACCTTAATCCCCGAGAACTTGCTCCCCTTCATGGTCCTACCGAGACTTTCGCTACCCAGCCCTTTAGCTCAGTAGCTGGGTTCCGTCTCCCTTAAACTCTCCCCTCGCCTCGGTGGGACTCGCATCTTCCATGCTCACCGAGGACAGCTGCGAAGGGAGTATTTCCTCTACTCTGTCCTCCTTCTCCAGCCCCTAGGGCCCTGTCCGCCCCCTCCCTACCCACCTGTCGGTTCCACCATCCTAAAGCCCTGCATAGGTAAGACAGCCCCCGCGGCATGGGGGCAGCCATCTTGTCCACGCAAAGCCTTCTGGGTAGGGGACTGAGAGCGGAGAGCCTGGGACCGGGGAGCAGGCGCACAGGGTGGAGCCGACTCGGGTGTGGAATTTTCCAGGGCGCGCGCCCTCCGCCGCCGGAGTGTGAGCTGCGTGCGCGCGCACGGGCGCGTGGTGCGCAGGCCGCGCGTGCGCACTGGGACGGCGTTGGGGGCGGGGTGGAGCGCACGGCTGTCACGCGCCCACCCTAGAGCGCCGGGGCGCGAGCTGCGCCTGCGCAGGAGGCTCGCGGGCGGCCGGGAGTTGCTGCATTCTTAGGTGATTGGGCCGCCGCTGCACCTCGTGTCAGTTCCGAGGAAAAGGGGAAGGTGTGGCTCTCCTGGGACAAGTTTTTTTTCTTTTTTCCCCCAATGCCTCCTTGGATGCCAGATAGGCAATAACGATTAGTTTCTGGATCTGGATCTGACCTCATTGTGCTGGGTAACCTTAAACGTAAGCTCTAGTTTTCCCAATCTGTATTGTGGAAAGAATTTTTTTTTTTTTTCTGAATGTCAATGACTGGTATGTTTATTGAACAAACATACTGGCTGCTGCGTTTATTGAAGCGAAGGACACGTGGGCGACAAAAACATTTCTTATCTGTCATTTTTTTTTTTTTTGAAAGAGGCATGGGATCAACATGAACACATAATAGTTTACACTTAGAAATGTTTACCGGGTGCCAAATGGTTTTCTAAACATTTACATATATTAATTAAATTACTTCTCACCACAAACAAGTAGAATAGTCTCCTTTTACATAGGAGGTTGGGTCGCAATTACAAATTTTAATTAAGATTGGGTGCTAGCCCAATTCTATCAGTGGATACAGCGTCAGCCTGTGGACTGAAGGGTCCCAGGTTCAATTCTGATCAAGGGCACATGCCTGGGATGCAGGAGGTAACCAATCAATGATTATCTTTCACCATTGATGTTTCTATTTCTCCCTCTCCCTTCCTCTCTAAAATCAATAACAATATAATTTTAAAAAGATTCAATGGCGCTGAAACCGGTTTGGCTCATATGATAGAGCCTCGGTCTGCGGACGGAAAGGTCCCAGGTTCGATTCTGGTCAAGGGCATGTATATTGGTTGTGGGCACATCCCTGGTAGGGGGTGTGCAGGAGGCAGCTGGTCGATGTTTCTCTCTCATCAACATTTCTAGCTTTCTATCCCTCTCCCTTCCTCTCTGTGGAAAATCAATAAAATATATATATTTTTTAAAAAGACTCGAGAGCTAATAACTGGCAGAACTGGTATTCAAACCCAAGCAGTCTAATTCCAGAATCCATGAACTACTATGCTGTCCTGCTTCACATTCAGTTGTTTAAAGATGCAGGATGTTGGCATCATCCTGGAAAACTCAGAGCTGTAATCATTGCAAACACTTTCCTCTTACTCATAGGTTCTCATTTTATCCTGACAATTAGTGTTTATTGAGCACTTACCTATAGTATTTTGCAATGAGTTAGAAGCTATAGTGTGTACATACAAGAGCTTACTGGCTGGAATAGAACTGCTACAAAGTTCCAGGTAAAATGCTAAGGACTATGAAAGAAAAGAGAGAGATTACTTTTGGGTTTGGGGATCACATGTATTGTCTTAAGTCTTGACTTCTCAACTATGCTGCAAATTCTTCAAGGATCAGAATTCTCCTATCAGTCCTAGCCACAGCACTGAACCTATAGCATTGCAAATTAATAGCAACATGAAGTTAGTTGCCCTATGTATGCATTAATTAAAGAACATATGAAGTAGTTAAATGAGAGTTATCTACTCGTTTCTTAACAGACTTCTGTCAATCTATGCCCAAAAAAAATAAAACATGAAATTTTTATTTCACTTGTCTCACCACAGAAGTGGGGGGGGGGGAACCCACTCCACTAAATAGTTATTGATTATTACAGAACATTGGTATAGTCTGTCTGGCATTATTTGCTCCACTGCTGAGTTTCTTGTTGGCCTCACATGGTAGCCAACACATCACAGATCATCCTCTGCCTGCCCTCTAATCCACTTCTCAAGGAATGCAAATTTGTTTCGTATCAGCCTGGATGAAATAAGAAGGGAAGTTAACATCATTTAATTCATTCTGAGATGAATGAACTAGCTTCTCTTTTTCTATTAGCTGCTCTTTTAGAAAATTCATATTATCTTTCTATCTCATTAACTCCATGGAAAACTGGGAGCTGTCTGCTGGGAAAGTAACACCACAGGATATGTCTTAATTCTATAACCCTAGTAATTCACATGTCAGGAAAAGCGAGAGAAGGGAACTCGTGCAATTAGAGATAGGAATAAAGTGGTTAGGGGCTCAGCCTCGTAAAGGACAGCCTTGCTAGTAGACATTCATGTATTTACTCAATAAATGAATAGAATCCCAGATGAAATACGATGAAGCAGAAGACAGAATTGATTTCTTGCTTCTCCAAATTTTGAAATTTCTAAACGGAGCCAAAAAGAATGGGATATCTCATAAGCAGTGGGAGCATGTGCTGGCATTGTTTTCTTCTCCCTGGGCAGGTGGCAGCTAAGATTGAAATTCCTGGAGTTCTTTCTGGCAACCTACATTCTAAGAGGAGCACAGTTGATTCAAAAGAAGAAAAATCCTTCTGGAGAACTGAACGAATCTGGTTACAATGTATTTATTGATGACAGTGCAAGGATCAGGCTTTGCCATGTATTCCTGTTGTACTTCCTTCCCTTGAGAGCATGCAGAATCCTCCAAGGTCAAGTGGCAGAGAAAAGCCAAGAATTCTGACTTTCTAGGAAATGTTCTCAAGTGATTTTCAGCTAATGTTAGCAGAGCTTCTTTATCACTCCGAGGGTTAACTATCTATGACTCTCACATAAAGGTTAAGAAAGCTATAGTGCCGCTGAAACTGGTTTGGTTCAGTGGATAGAGCGTCAGCCTGTGGACCAAAAGGTCCCAGGTTCGATTCTGGTCAAGGGCATGTATTTTGGTTGCAGGCACATTCCTAGTGGGGGGGAGGGTGTGCAGGAGGCAGCTGGTCGATGTTTCTGGCTTTCTATCCCTCTCCCTTCCTCTCAGTAAAAACTCAATAAAATGTATTTTAAAAAAAAAAGAAAGAAAGAAAGAAAGAAAGAAAGAAAGAAAGAAAGAAAGAAAGAAAAAGAAAAGAAAGCCGAAACCAGTTTGGCTCAGTGATAGAGCGTCGGTCTGCGGACTGAAAGGTCCCAGGTTCGATTCCGGTCAAGGGCATGTACGTTGGTTGCAGGCACATCCCCGGTAGGGGGTGTGCAAGAGGCAGCTGGTGGATATTTCTCTCTCATCGATGTTTCTAGCTCTCTATCTCTTTCCCTTCCTCTCTATAAAAAAATCAATAAAAAATATATTTTTTAAAAAAAAAGAAAAGAAAGAAAGGAAGAAAGCTATAGTGCCTACATTTACATCTTCGCTCCACCTCTTTTCCTCACCTGTACAAAAGGGTAAATACATAGCTAACTCATAGAATTGTTATGAAATCATTCAATGAGTTCATGTTCCCATTCTGGTTAGTTATGGCCACTGCTTCCAAGCCCTATGACCCTGGAAGGGATGTACAGAGCCTAGCAGAGTCCCGCCACGTGCAACTGCTCTTTGTGCTGGACACAGACAACACCCCCGCCCCCAGCGTCCACCCCAGAGCAATGTCCCTAAAGCAGGAGGGCTCCTAACTCTGACAGGCACGGGAAATCTTCAGGAAGCCTGTGCGTCAGCTGCTGTCCCCTGGGGGCCAGTTCTCACCGCTGCTGAAACTAAGCCCACCGAGAGGCAGGTCTGTTTCCAAGTCCAAAGGTGATTTCTTATTTCTGTGCCGCACGACTTTCTCCTCCTACCTGTTTTTCTCTCTCATCTGTCCTTCCACTCATCCCTGCTGCGGAGGGCCAAGGCCTTTTCCTTTACCATTTCTGCCCGCCTCAGACTCCTTAGCTCTAAGGTATGTTTAGAAAAAAGATATTGCTGGTTCCAGCTCAGCCAGAAAAGAAGCCAAGACTGCCCGCTGTTCACACTGGGTCTAGAATTAATCCCTAGCCTTTTCTCGCTCCACTTTCGCCCCAGCTGGCTAAATCAAGCAATAATCCTAAAAGGAAATTTCAAGCTATTTGTGACACCGTCCCTTCTCCCCCTACACCTGCCCCCCCAACTCCCCCTCTCCTCCCCCCCCCCCCCCCCCCCCCGCAGCCAAGAGCCACATTTAGAGAAGAGAGAACAAAGCCCCTGGATCAGAGTAATCTGTTTCTAACCCACTTTCGCTCCCAGGGAGGAAGGAGACAGAAAGAAATCTGACACACACGTTAGCGCTGGGAAATGGGGAAGAAGCTCCAGGAGTGTCAGCAGGGCTGTAGACACGGGGTTTGGAGCCTGGGCACTGTTCTCATATGCTGGGGTACGCTGTAAAAGCAATTCCTAGGCCCTAACCAGTTTGGCTCAGTGGATAGAGAGTCGGCGTGCGGACTGAAAGTTCCCAGGTTCGATACCGGTCAAGGAATATCTTGATTGTGGGCACATCCCCAGCAGGAGGTGTGCAGGAGGCAGCTGATCGATGTTTCTCTCTCATTGATGTTTCTAACTCTCTATCCCTCTCTTTTCCTCTCTGTAAAATATAAATTAAAAAAAAAAAGTTACTCTCTAGAGCCCCAAAAGCCTCCAGTCTCATGTGATGTGTATTTAGCTCTTATCAATAATGCACAAAGGCCTGTGCTCATTTATAATACACTGGAAGGACTCCCTTTGGGGCCCCTTGTGAACCAAGTGCTTAGCACACCTTTAGTCTGCCTTCTTCTGTTCACCAGCCACGGACTCTGACATACAAGCATGCACCTTCCGCTGACCATTCTTTGGGATGCTCTCCGGCTCTTTGGGGAAGGGAAGCTGTGTGAATGCAGAAAACTTCCACTAGAGGGTACCAAGGCTGCACTGGGATCTCAGGCTGCACGGAGGCCTATGCAAACCCAGCAATCCCAGGATTTTAAA